CTTTCCCTATAATGACTCTACCTCTGCATTACATCACCCAAATAAAACATCCTCACTACCTCTACTACCTTATTTCACTCACTCACATAACTCAAAGTCTGAGAACTAACATTAAATTTTGCACAAATCCACCTTCCACAACACCCTAAGCTGAGCAGATAATTCAATCCACAAGCTCTACCACCTCATTCCCAAATCAATTCAATCAATCATCTTCTCCACTGCCTAAATATTCTAAGTTCATTTCTCAACTAGCACCCACTTGCCACTTTATTATCACCAAATCCCAAAGAGGAACCTCTAACCTAAACAACCTTTCAGCCTCCTACACATTTCCACCAAAAAAATCTGACTATTTGCAATACTGTTACTTGCAATCCACACTGGTCATTCCCAAATCAATTCAATCAATCATCTTCTCCACTGCCTAAATATCCTAAGTTCATTTCTCAACTAGCACCCACTTGCCACTTTATTATCACCAAATCCCAAAGAGGAACCTCTAACTTAAACAACCTTTCAGCCTCCTACAAATTTCCACCAAAAAAATCTGACTATTTGCAATACTATTACTCGCAATCCACACTGAAGGAAAGCTTTGTCTGACAAATTCATGGCACTATATTAGCCAGGAACAAGGAACTTAGTATCACCATCATCTCACTAAAACATCCAAAACAATAAATGGACACTCAAGGTGAAGTATAATTCTAGTGGTATCATTGCTCATCACAACAAATAAACAAGAATATGGCCTTGACTACACTAACACATTTAGTTTTGTGGCTAAGCCACCTACCATCAACATCTTACTAATCATTGGCATGTATCATCATTGAAAAATATAACAATTAAATGTTGCAAATGACTTTCTACATGGGGCCACTAAATGAGAAGGTCTACAAGGCACAGCAACAAGGATTGCAAGATTCATGATATCCAAAACATATTTGTTTCTTGAAAATGCTATTTATTTTTTAAAACAAGCCCCTGAGTAATAGTTTGCCACATTAACTAGATATCTACAAACACTCAATTTTTGCGCTTGCGAGGTTGACCCATCTTTGCACTTCTACAAACATTATAATAAATTCATCGACATTATGATTTATGTGTATAATATACTTATAATAAAAAATAATGATACAATAGTTTCAGACTTCATGAACACCCTACAACAAAACTTTCAAATGCACCATTTCCTAGTTTTTGGGAATTCATGCTAATCATATTGGTAGCAACATCCACTATCTCATGCTAGTTACCTTACAAATCCTCTTTAAAGAGAAGGAATGCTTGCCTGCAAACCTTTAGAAACTTCTTTTCCACAAAAAAATTTTGCTAAGAGAGGATCAACGACAATCATACATTGGTCCTTCTCTTATTTCCATTTGGTCGGAGCATTACAATCTCTAACAACTACACGACATGCCATATCCTTTGCTGTCAACAGACTTTGTTAGCATCTGCATTAGCCCCTCACATTAATTATCGACATCTTAAATAGTTATTCAAATATCTTCATGGAACCATGCATCATGGTATTCTTATTTCACGAACAAACATGCAACTCCTACTCAGACTCTGGCAGGGACTTCATGTTACTATGCATTTCTCGATTCTAGCATCATACACTGGCATGCAAGAAAACAATCAACATTAGATGGGTCCTCAGCTGAATCAGAATGCAGAGCTCTAGCCACAGTTGCACCCGACTTCATTTGGCTCAAATAATTCCTTGAAGAATTTGATATTCCATAACATTCACCCACACCTCTTCAATGTGATAATGTCTCAACAATTGCAGTAGAGAACAATCATAATTTTTCAAGCTCGAATCAAACAAATCAAAGTCAATATCATTTCTACCTTTCAGCTATAACCACTAAAGATCAACTAGTTAACCTCTTCAACAAAGGCTTATCTACAAATAAACTCACACTTCTAGAGAAAAGCTTGTGAATCTTTGGATCAACAGCTTGTGCGGGTTTGATATAGCATCCTCACCTTTTATAGCTCATTTATACCGTACATTGCACATGGGTTTCAATAACTACTTGATCCTCCAACAGTACATCCATAGCTCTTAAACAGTTTAGATTTTCTTAAGTCATTGTATATACCTCTATGATTCACTGTAACAATCAGCTTACTAAAATATATTTCACCTACCGCTGTCATTCTTTATGTTTTGTCTACTTTTCTTCTTGATACTATGTTGCTTCAATATTCTACAAATAACTTAAAGTTTTTATCCGATTCCAAAATTATTTAACTTTGAGGCTTCCATACACTAGAGGCAGGCATAGCCCAAGCCCAACTAAAAATTTTATTGTCATTTATTTTACGTTAAAAATTAAAAATGTTACAATGTTTACAAATATATTATTATTCTAATTTGATTTTTCCTTTTTATTTATTTATAGTGAGAGCATACCTTCTAGACTTGAATTTTGCAATATTGCACAATTTTTTCGTACTAAAACTAATGCCTTTCCTTACTACACTACCCTAAAACAATTAATAAAAATGTATTTTTGATTATTAAGAGAGTAATCAACCAAAAAATTCAACATAAAGTCAATAATAAAACCAAGAAAAATCATATTTTTTTGGTAAATTATTTGTCTTAAACCAATATTTATTTGATCATACATCAAATAAATAAATAAATAAATAACATCATGATTCATCATTCCACAAAATGAAACATAAACAACAGATCATGGACACATGTAGACCAGTTGGAGGAATCCCTCCATATTAAAATCGTCTTTAGCAGCCCCTATTTAACAAAAGTCCCACATGTATATATTTGCTTTTATGTTACTCTGTCAAATTAAAATTAGAAGTTTTAAAACTCAGTTTTAAGTCAATTTTAACCAAATATATAAAGACAACATTTTCCATTAAGAGTTGGTGGACTACTTCCACGTCGGGGAAGGCGATGCCGGCGCCGACCGATGTCTTGAAAAAATCCTCAGCGGCGATGACAAAACCTCCATATACTTTCTCCTTGGCGACCAAACCCCATCAACAGAGTGATACTCAGAAACCATCTCAAACATATCATCATCCTTCTTCATCTCCCTCATCCTCCCCACATCAACCACCATTCCACACCTCGCCATCCTCCATATCCAACCCCTCTTCCCTTTACCCTTCATCCCCACACCATTCATTCTCCCAATAAGATACTCCCTCACCCCATCCACCCCACTTTCCACAACCTCCATCGCCGGAGAAACGAGCGGGTTTCCTTCTGCTTTCAGACTACGGAGACCGGCGGCACAAGCGAGCGAGTCGGGGAGGGTAGTTATGCAATTATAGCTGATGTTGAGGTGTGTAAGGGAAGGGAGAAGGCCAATGGAGTCTGGTAAGGAGTTTAGGTTTTGGAAGTTTTGGCTGACATCAATGGAGTGGAGGTAAGGGAGGAGGTGGAGGTCTTTGGGGAGGGTTAGAAGGGAGTTCAGATGGGCGTCCAGGGTGCGCAGAGAGGAGAGTTTGTGGGCTGTGGAAGGAAGAAAAGTTAGCTTGTTTGAGTGAACGGAGAGAAGACGAAGGTTGCTTAAACCAAGTCCTAAGCTGTCCGGGAGCTGTGTTAATTGGTTGAAGTTGATTAGCAATTCTTCCAATGACCTGCAAATTAGTAGATCAGAACTTATATAGTTATTTAGGAGAAGAAGATGAGATTATATATATATATATATATATATATATATATCCCAATTTTGGCTCACTTTTGTCACTCACCTAAGCCTTGCTGGCTCTATATATATATCCCCATTGGCACTGGGTTCTCGATTATTTAGGCACATTATGCGGGCTCTCATCATGGGGCTTAGCACACGGGAAATCAGTATTTGGGCCTCTGCTAAATACCGATTTCATTTTTTTTTAATATATATATATTTAAGGAATGGGTCGTGAGGTCCCTAACCCACTCTATTGGCTCAACACCAATTAGGTCTGAGGGGACCAATGAGCCTAAATGGTTGAGGACCCCACTTAATAAAACAACAGTCATCGGGATTCGAACTCAAGACAATAGGAGACTTATACTGATTTTTCATATATATATATATATATATATATATAAATGGGTCTTGAGGCCCCTAACCCATCCTACTGACTCAACACCAGTTAGGTTTGAGTGGACCAATGAGCCTAAATATTTGAGGACTCACTTAATGAAACAGCAGTCGTTGGGATTCGAACTCAAGACTATAGGAGACTTATACCGCCGAAGCGAATGGTCTATATATACTTAGTAATTT